GCACGGGGAGCTCTGCAGGCCTCTCCGATGAGAAGCTGTTCCTCGAACGCTATTGGCTCGCTGGCTACACAGAGGACCACTCTCCCAGGCACGCAGAAGGCAGAGTCTTCCTGCTCCTCTGAGAGCCGCTCAGTGCCGGGCGTTTGTCCCTGTGAGGGACCCGGGTACAGCACTTACCAAACCTGGTTCTCTGGATGCTCCTCGGACTTGAACACGGCTCGTGTCCAGGTGAGCTGCAAATGAAGGGGCAGAGCCTCTAATTTCTTTTAGCGCTTAGTGAGGGACACCCGAACTCTCAGCTTTGCTTTTAAGCCACCGAGTGCACCCAGGGATGTCATTGTGTGAGTTACAACTTTGGGAGCAGGCGACACAATGCCACGGCGACATAAATTAGGAGCCCGGCTCCCTAAGGGGAAGCCGGGAAAACACGAGCTGACTCTGATCCGGAGGTTTTAGGATGGAGACTTCATCAATTTTATGATGCTGTTAAAAGTGGCCATCTTTATGCACGTAGAAACCAATGAGTGAAAAGCTAGGGTAGGAAGAGCAGGGGTGAAGACAGTGAAATGGGGCAGGCCCAACCTCCTGAGCGGAGGGTAGTCCACGCTGGTCCTGAACAGGTTGGTCCTTCCCAGAACTGTCCCTGGGGCAGGAGGGACCTTGCAGAGCCAAGCCGGCTGCTTCCTTCCCTGGAGTGACTGGCCTCTGACTTGGAGGACTGCCCACGGAGTAGGTCTGTCTGTTCTGGTGCTGTGGTCCTGGGTTTGGCTGTCACTGGCACGACCACCCCCCCTCCCAGGGCGAGCCTCTCCCTGGGGTGGCCAGCCTACCCTTCATATGCAAACCAGCCAGTCTCGCCCACACCCCGACCACCTCTTCCATGGGATTCTCATGCTAGGGCACTGTCCATTGGCCCTGGTCACCCGGGGCTTGGCACCAGGCAGAGACGTCCTGACGCCCCTCACCTCCCAGGACGATTCCCAGTACTCAACCCCAAGTCCGCCTACCCGGCCCCACTGTTGCTTCCCGCAGAAGCCACATCAAAGAGTCATGTTTGGCCTGTATCTCCCCCTCGCCCCCTCCACCTCCTGACTGACCTGGTGCCACCCTCGTGGCCCTGTGTGGCTTGGTGTGCCCCCTCCTGAGGACCCTAGCAAGCTGCCTTTCCCCCGCCGCCGTCTCCTGATCTCTCCGCCTCCCCATACTGAATGCAGATGAAGCCTACATGTTTTGGTTTTGACTTTTTTTCTTTTTAGGGTTTTTGCCATAGAGTGTGTATGTTTGCCAGAGAGACAGAAACAGTGAGAGGGAAAGTGAGAAATCACACCTCCCCCCACCCCAGGAGGATGGCCATGCCGCAGTCCCTCCTCCCCCTTTCTCCTCTCAGGACTTAGGGCACGCATGCACACACGCCAGTGTGATAGTCAAGCCACCAGGTCCAGGACTCAAAACATAGATGGCCATGCGGGAGTCCAGTACCTTAACCACCAGCCCCTGCTGGCCCTAAGCCTACATTTCCTAACGCGCCAGTCCTGGGGGGACATGCCCTGACACCGCAGCCTCTGCCTTGAACCCTGGCACGCTTTCTGATCTTGCTCGTCCAATGAGTAGGAGGGCAGGTGCTCTCGTGCAGGCGTGTGAGAATACAGTGATGTGGCCATGCCGTCACCAGGTGGGTCTGCAGCCTTCTGTCCCCACCTGGAAGTGGCCTGGCTCCTGAGGCTCTTCCCAGGTCATGGTACTTCAGGGACCTCTGGGACGAGAGCCCAACCCCCGTGTGTCCCCGCGCCCCAGGGCAACAAACATCAGGGGCCTTCGTTCCCATGCCTGGGCTGAGTCGGTCTCTCGTCCTCAGAGAGCCCAAGAAAAGTGGCGTGCCGTCACCGCAGGAGGGTGTCCTGCAGCCTACTTCCCTTGTTTTTCAAATGGGGAAGATGAGGTCCCAAGAGAAGTGACACCGGGACCAGCAGTTAGTGTAATGGCTATGTCGCTGGACTCCCACGTAGTCGACTGCGGTTCGCATCCCGGACCCGGTGGCTTAAACTCACACCGGGCGCATGTGCGTGCGCGCCCAAGATCGCAAGAGGAGAACGGAGGAGAAGGGATTGTCTGGGGGGTGATTTCTCGCTTTCTATCTCTGTTTCTCTCTCTCTCTGCCTGGCAAGCGCACGCGCCCTATAGCAAAAACTTCTAAAAAAAAAAAAGAGAGGTGACACCTTCAGAGTGAACTAGTAGAGGCCAAACTGCCTTTTCTGTCTGCCTCGTCCCTCTGGGGTGAAAACTAGCAAAGTGCTTACTGCCCATGACGCTGCAAGCGTGCTGCAGACAGCGGCCCGGCTGCAGAGCAAGGACGCCAGGGTGTCCGGGACCTCCAGGAGCCACTGCGCTTTGTTCCTCTGCACGATCAACAGTGCAGCGGGGCCAAGGGGCAGGCGCTGTGTTGAGGGGTTGCCACCCCTGAAATTATTCTGAGAACAATGTTCAACTTAACCAACTTCTACTGAGCACCTTTCGCATGGCAGGCCGTATTCCGCCGTGGGAGCCCAGGGGAATGCCCCTTGAGCTCACAGGGCAGCAATTTATCCGCTCCGCGAACCTTTACTGAGCACCTTCTGTGTGCTAGCAACTGTTCTGGGCCCCGGGAAGCCGTGGCGAGGCTCCCATGGAGCTGACGTTCTTGGGGGCAGTCGGGTAACCCTCGGAAAGTTCGCACAAGCAGGAACTACCCTGCAGTGGTAGGGAGAGAGAGCTGTGGGGCACAGGCCCTGATGGGAAAGGGGTGGGAGAGTATGAGAAGAGGCCGGAGAGGGGCAGGCAAGCGTGAGCACCAGGGCTTTGGAAGCTGAAGCTCTGGGGGCGTTGAGATGCTCTCAGCGAGGGAGCACTTGTCACTGTGCGTGGGCCTTAGCAGTCATGGGCGGGGTTAGAACTTCTGAGATCATTCATTGGTTAAATACACAAGCCTTTGTCTCAGAAAGACTTGGACTGGAGAGAAGAATGTCTTCAGCTCCCTTTGAGACAGCAAGGGGTCACGGGTTGCTCGGCCGGGCTCAGGACGGAAGGGCTGGCAAAGTTCAGGTCTTTGACATGACTCTGCCCAGCCCTGGGAATCAGTCCCCACCCCGTGGCTGCTGAGCTGTCAATCTCCAGCAGCTTGTTCTCCCCTCCTGGGCGAAACCTGGCCCCGGGTGTGCCTTGAGTGTGCTCTGTGCTGGCAGCTGCAAGGTCTAGATGGGCAGAGGCCCGCCTTCACCCCCACCCCAGCCCCAGCCCAAGCCTCTTCCCTGACCTCCAAGCCCGTCTGCGGCTGCTGGTCCAGGGGCTCATCAGGACCTCCACATCCCTGCCCCTTGACGCCATCTAAAGCAGAACTCTCCCTCCCCAGCTCTACCTGCCACTCTGGCCCCTGCCCTGCTCCCGTCTGGCCTCCCATCACCTCTCCCCACCCTGCAGCCCTGCCCGAGTCCTGCCAATCCTCCCTCCTACTCGCCCCTGGGCTCTGGCCTCCCGTCCCACGTCCATTCCTGGTTTCAGACCCCCTTGTCCTCCCTGCTCCTCACGTCCTGGCTCGCAGAGGTAAGCCGTCCCCCATGCAGAAGCCCGTGGCAG